GCGGCATATGAAATAAGAACTGGAAATCAATAGTTCATTGTGATACTTTGGGTGGCTCATTAAAGCAGATTCGTGATTGCGAACAACAAAACAACATAAACGGCACTGTAAACCTAGTGGGTGTTATGCCTGCTCAGCCGAGCGCATCTTCTGTCCTCATTTGATCCAGTTCAGTTGATGTAGAATAGTTCACAGTAACAGCGTGAATGAACACGACTACATTGCTTTTCTTTTCAATTTTTCCTCGCATTGTTCGCGTCTTGAAAACAACACTCGGTGCTCTCCGAACAGCCCCCCTCCACCCCATGGCGGCACCGGAAGATTGGTGTGAATCGCAAAATACTGGAATCACTTCAGAGTGAATGGAACAAACGGAGACCGTAGAATAAAGTTTCACATGCACACACACATTCACGTGTTCGTTGGGATGTCAGTCGTGTTGACATTTCGGATCGTCGCTTGGGATGCTGGCCTGTGTCTAATAACTGGCACACGTACTACACTGACCGCTTACAGCTGCACTTGCATGCGTCTGTATCGATCAATTAAAGAAATCATAGTTGTTGGACAACAGAGTGGTCAAGAGTGTTCAAGTTGCAGAGCACCAAAGTGTGGCAAAATGCTTGTTGTGTAGGTTACGATGTTCAAACATGATTGTATAGTATTCATTTCATTTTTGTTTTTTGAGTGGAACTACGGGAATTAAAAGTAACAATCACGTGCAAGAGCTAGCACGCTTATGTTACTAAACAGATTCGAGCACACTTCGAATCCATGTGGCTATCCTACACTCGTAGATTGCCCTGTGTTCACAGGATTACTTGGTAACGTCACAAATTGTTACAGTTTTGCTGACATAGGCAAATATATCCTCATATCTTGACACTATGGGTATCGCTTGCTCATTTTATGCAAGTGGAAACGGAGCAGGTGAGAGGTGAATAATGCGCTCAGCTTGCCTGCGGTTCCAGACTCGATTCCCACCAGTATCATTACCAGATTGGTAATGCCATCAGTGTAGCTATACAGTATCGGTCGGCCTTTTTTGTCCACAGCTAAACAAATAGTATGCGTAATGAGCGGTGAGTACTACTGAGAACAAAATATTCACCCCTGAACCACGAGGCACGAGAACCCAAGACAAACAGCTCTTTCGGGTGTCTGTGCTCAAACTGTTTTCACTCAGTCATTCAGATGACTCAAACTGGCGAATATACAGAACGTTGATCAAACGGATCGAACTGGCCAATAATGTAAATGGGAAACACAGAATGTTACAAGTCCGGCAAACATGTATGCAGTATCTAAATCGCTTACACCTCTACTGGCCAACACAATTCCCATTCTAACAGATTACTCAGAGGATTAAAGTAGCTCATAAGCAAATTGCAAAATCAATTCTGTCATTCATTCTCAGTATAGGCAAAGTAGTCTGATGAAGAACTTGGTAGCTGAATGAGTTGCTCTATGTATCGATACATGGAGAGCGCAAATGCTCGCAACCCAATCATTAAAGAAAAGAGATATTAAAGTAATCGCGTTTAGTATTCGGTTTCAATTCGGAAAGGAATTTCAACTTTTATCTAAGTTTCTGAACATCCGAGGAAATCGATCAATCAATATGATGCCTCAACTAACAGTTAGACTGTATAATTAGCCGTCTATCTGTCCGTCCGCCCGTCCCTTTGCCATCCTGCCAGGGGTTTCCCGTCCCTCACACACAAGAAAGAACTGATCGATTTCTCACTTTGAAAAGAGTGATATAATACACCTAACTGACTTAATAAACCCCTACATCGAGGCGGTTTGGAATATGTCACATTTTACCTTTGAGATACATTTCGCTCCGTGGATCGCTCCAAGTCTCTTATCATATGCATAGTGGAAAAAAACGTTAAAGTAGAAATTGAGCAACTCAGACGGTCTTAATGTGCATGTCCTGGGTGGAGAAACCGGACAAGGTTACTTGAGGTGGAACGAACCGAGTTAGAAGAGCATGTGTAGATGTGGTTGATGTGTGCCTGTTTTGTGTGTGTGTGTGTGTATCTATGCCCGCCCACATGGGCGATCTTATTTGAACTCGTACCAACACACACACACACACACACACACACACACATACGCACAGACATGTGTATTCATTTTGTCTATGTGGAGCGGGGGTGGGGGGTGGGGGGGGGGGAAGCGGTGAACCAATGAGAACTAAGCGAATGCATCCAATTGAAAAGGCAATTTGAAGCAGAGGACTTTCGTGGATTATTCATCATTAAGCTTTTATATTATACACTTTGCAGTCACAGGGTTGCAGTAGAATGAAACAGGATTTACAAATGACGTTAACACAGGTTGGTTACCAAATTCTCCACCGGGATGGAAGAGACGCGGCTAATGATGGTCAGTCCACGTCGAAGCAGTTTTAAACATCTCTTCAGGAGATTGGAAAAAATAGATGAACGGTAAAGCAAACCGGGGAAAACATACTGGTACACAAATAAGATAATCAATTTTCGAATACGAAACTGATGACATTTACGGATATGGGAAGAAAGTTATCGGAGTCTACTGACTATATGTTGAATGTGAGAGGTCCAGTGAAGATTTTAATCGATAAAAGAACCTAGGTATGTAATATAGCTTACTCGGGATGCTGATCCAGAGCCACTCAATACTGGTTAAGATTGGAAAGAAAAATGTCATAATGTGGAGAAATATTGGAAACATTTAGAGGGATTAAAAGAGAGACCGGATGTGGAAAATAATTTTTGAAAGATTTCAAAGTTGTCAGAAAATTGTGAAAGACCAAACGTGTCAGAGATGGCCTGACATAAAACCACATCATTAGATTATATGAAGAGATATTTAGGGGCGTTGGGAGACAAGTCGATAAAATACATTGAAAATAAGTGAGGGGGAAGAACTGCACCTTGGAGTACGGGTGAATTGTTCACCGATGGTTTAGACTTCCTCCGACCTAAGCTGGTATATTGAGTTCTTCTGGAGAAGTATTCACCATGCCAAATTAATAACCACCTGGAACAACCGAAGGTCGCCAATTTAGGAAGAAGAAAGGAACAAAGCAGATGAGTAGTTCAGAAACACTCAACGCTGAGATTTCACAGTCATTCAGGCATTTGATCAATTTCTGTGCAA